GAAAATGGCAAAAATCTGAAAAAGTACAACAGAATTTTGACTTGATCCAGAAACTTCCTAATGCATAAGCCGGTTTAATTTGTATCTTGTGTTAATGGTACCAATCTGTGTTTGACAGAGGAGATATGGTTGCCGGGCAATGATGCTGGAGACTGTGGCGGCTGTTCCTGGAATGGTGGGAGGCATGCTGTTGCACTGCAAATCCTTGAGGCGATTTGAGCACAGTGGTGGCTGGATCAAAGCTCTGTTGGAAGAAGCTGAGAATGAGCGTATGCACCTAATGACATTCATGGAGGTGGCCAAGCCAAGGTGGTATGAGAGAGCGCTTGTATTTGCCGTCCAGGGTGTTTTCTTCAACGCCTACTTCTTGGGCTATGTCATTTCACCCAAATTTGCTCACCGGATGGTGGGGTACCTTGAGGAAGAAGCAATCCACTCTTACACTGAGTTCCTCAAGGAGCTGGACAAGGGCAACATTGAAAATGTCCCTGCTCCAGCAATTGCCATTGATTACTGGCGCCTGCCTGCTGACTCCACTCTCCGGGATGTTGTGATGGTTGTGAGGGCAGATGAGGCACATCACCGTGATGTCAACCACTTTGCATCGGTAAGAAGCAATTGAATCATTTCACCGAATTCCTCTTTCAAATTGTTCTGTATGAGATGTTGATATGTGTTTTTTAATGACCTTGCATGCAGGACATACATTACCAGGGACGGAAACTGAAGGAAACGCCTGCCCCACTCGAGTACCATTCATCTGAAATGCTGGGAATTAGCCTCGTCTTATAAAGTGAATTGAGACAGATACTTCTACTAAACCTACAAATAAGTAGTTTTTGTAAAGATAACAATGATACTGGTTTTGTTTGCACTGAGTTTTGATGTGGGTCTGCGCTAAAGTGTGTTCAGGGCTCTCTGCATCTGTTAACGAACTTACTGGAGTTATGAATGTTAATTGAGTTCGTACTTGTTTTGAGACCTTCATTATTCCAGCTGAATTTTCCTTGAATTGAAATTGTTCATTGTAATTAACCCTCTGCTCATTTTCGCCCGTACAATGGTTTGTCATGCTCTCCTTTCTAGCAGCCATGAAATTGGATTCGTGAGAGGATTCCTAATTTACTCCCATGACTCGAGGAGATTGTCCAGGTCGTCCAAGAAAGAGGGATATTGTCCAGGACAGCAGAAAAATCATAGCCGATGATGAAATAAGCAGTACTTTCGTAGCGATGTTTGTAGTAGTTTGAGTTTAAGAGAACATAATCATGTCATAGGAAGAAGCTTCTAGAGCATCATGGAATTCACAAGAGATTCCATTGGATTAATCAAAGAAATTTGATTATCAAAAGACAACTTAGACTGGCAAAATTTTGTTTTGGCGAAGAATTGGAGGTCTTTCTTTTAGCAGAACCGAATTAGTAGTATAATTATCATCAAATACCTAATAATGAGGATTCAATTAAACAGCAGAATAGTAATATTTTCTTCGTCATAAAAACAAATTCACACCTAAAGGACAATCGTTTTCAATTTTCCGAGCTGCAATCGGGCAGGTATGGCGAGTAATTTCAGCCGATCCGAATATGGAAAGGGACAGCATGCCAGGAAGTAGAAAAATGGATAGAATCATTCTTAGATTTCAAAGTTCCGCAAGAGCCATGCCGCAGATTCAATATGAAAGAGGAGAAATTAAGAAGGGAAATTTCATATATGGGTCCGTTTCCATGCTGATTTATAGTGGTCTCCGAAACTTCATAAAGTTTTGAACAACCATTGAAGCATCAAAGATATGTGCTAGAAGACTTCCCTTAAGTATGTCTTACTGTAGATACCATATAGATCATAGACCAGATTTCGAGTCATATAACTGGTAGAGTGCCTAAGAGATTTCTCTCACCTCATACTCGTGGGAAATTTTGAGAGGCGATTC